CTGATATATTTTAACTTCACTTTCATGTATATGTAGTCTTAATGATTTGGATATGAATATTGAGTCTTCTAGCCGTACATCGCAGCTCATGAGTGTTCTTCATTCGATGGAACAGGACACCGATTTGGCGATTTAGGGCGAAAAGCCTCAGTGGAATAGAAATGTAATTTACACACAAAGGGGAATGACGTGACGAAGGGCTTTAAAACAAAAGGGGAAATGTTAGAGGAAGGACAGGGTAAAATTGAGTTTTTGACCAAAATGATGTTTTTCATATTTTAATAGACTTTTTCTAAAAAAAATTCAGTTTTTTTTTTTTTGACTTTTTTTGTCTTATTCTCCCAATTAATTAAGAAAACAACTATGCTAAGAAAACATATTAATCTTTACATTAAAAAAACTTTAACCAAGAAAGAGGATAGGAAACGTAGGAACCGAAGAAATTCACGAAGCTATTTGTTTGTGTCATTATAAACGTTTTTAACAATCATTATTTTTTTTTCACAAACAAATACATGACTCAAAGCACGATTGCTAATTCTAGCAGCCCTTCGTCCACTGCTATCTACTCTGAAAATGAAGACTTCCTTCATATAAATGACTTCCAGAATATTGCTGATCTTCAAGAAGTACATGAGGTTTATATACGCAACTTTCATTTATAAAATATATATTATGTGAAATACTTTTTGGATTATTTTTATATTAATCTTTCATTTTACTTTTTTTATCATATAATTTAAAGTTACATTAATATTTTTCAGGAAAAAACATTGATTGTTGTCGGTACGATTAAGCATGTGTGTGCTGATGCGGAATGATACTATTTGACTTATACTAAATGTTATGAGAAAGCCATAAAAGTCGTTTTAATGCATGAGGATCAAGTTCAAGATAAAGAAGTTTTTAATTGTTACACTTCAACTTGCATGAATAAAGAGATATCTGTTATTCCAAGGTTTTCAATAGTTTTTTTATACATATTATTATAATCTTCGTTAAACTTTCTAATTTTATATAACTGAATTTGTTTATATCAATGATTTTAGTTTCTAAATCACCATTAGAGTACAAGACTTTACCGGTTTGGTGTCACTTACGTTATTTGATCGTGACACAAAGATACTTCTTGAAAAATCTGCACAAGAGATGCTTGAAAATTTTAATGAGGTTATCGATATTAACTTAATTTACATAAAACTAATTTTAACTTTTTGTCTATCTAATTGTATAATTGTTCATTTTTTTAGGATCATTTTTTAGGAGGGTAATATAGAGATTTATCCATCTACTTTGAATGTATTTTTGGATACAAAGTTAGACGTTCAAAATTCAAATTTCAAATGATAATTTGAAGAACAAAGTTGATGGTTATGAAATCTCAAAAGTTCACTGCTAATAATACAATCATTGCTCAATTGGAAAAAAAAAATTAACATCAAACAGGTAACATATGAATTTATTTCTACATTTAGAATTTATTTCTACGTTAATGATGCTCTTTTTGCTTATTGTTTTTTTGTTTTACAATTCTCATCATTGAACTCTGAGATGATTATTGAGGATAAAACCAAACGTACTATCTTACCACCACCGAGTCATTTGAGATTGTTACCGCCAACAACTACTTCAGTCAAGCTGCCTATTGAGATTGTTACCACCACCGAATCATTTGAATTGTCTTATTCGAAAGATGGTGTTGCTGCTCCTTCCTTGAAGATCCGAAAAATGGAAAAGTTCGAATAAGTTTAAGCCATTCATCATTATTTGACATTTTAGTTTGAAGACTTTTTTTTTTATTAGTTTTTGTTGTTTGCTTATGGATTTGTTTGACAAGTAATTTGTTTTGATTTTGAAGTTTATGTTTGTTTTCATCTCTTTCCCATAAATTTTCTTTTTTAATCATTATGCAATATCTATAGACGTTTCTATGTTTTTTTTATGTGATCCCCGCGTTTAACGCGGGTTATAATCTAGTTAATTAGAATATTTCAAAATGAAAAACGATCCAGATACGATCTCAATGTTGACAACTTTGACTATTTTAGTTATCAATTTAACTTCATACATGCGTCTAACTAATTTCTATATATCACAAACAACATACTTGAATTACTTAAAACCAAAACGTATCAAAACAAAAATCACACTGATTTAAGTTTCCATATTTATATTTTTCAGATCCAATTCATTTCAAACAATAACCAAATGTGCTTTTTTTTTCCACCTCAAAAGGGACCATTTGTTGTTTTACTCAAAAAAAATCCTCTTTTTAGACATTACATAAACATTCCCAAAACACCAACAAAATAGAAAAGAAAAAGATAATCTTTATTCAAAACACAACAATGGCTTCTTATTAGTTTCTCAGAAATGGTGTACCTAAGCAACAAAAAAGAAACAAAATAACCATTCTTCCTTCTCTATGGTGATCTGAATGCTTCTCCTGCATATCGCACGTTTCCAAGTTCCTCCTCAATCCGCAAAAGCTGCATCATTTCATAACAACTCTCAGATTCCATTTCCTTTTCACTTTAACAAGTTATAAAAAAAAGACCTAATCTGATAAGCTATATACGAGTCTTTACTTTTTAACTTAATACAGAAAGAACAACTTGTAAAAATGTTGTCACCTGATTATATTTAGCCAATCGCTCGCTTCTGCAAGGAGCTCCAGTTTTGATCTAAAACAAGTGCAATGAGTACAATATTAGGTGATTAAAAAAAAAAAATCATAGCACACTTAAATAACATAAGGTTAGAAATAAAGTGACACCTGTCCACTAGCTAAGCCAACTGAAAGATCTGCAATAAAGTTATCCTCTGTTTCACCACTACGGTGGCTAACCATGACACCCCACCCTGCAGCTTTTGAGTCAAGAGCAGCTTGGATTGACTCAGTCACACTTCCTATTTGGTTCACCTGAAATGAATGTTCAATTTTTCAAAACTCACTCAAACTATACTTACTAAGTTTTATAATGTAAATTCAAGAACTATAAAGGGTAAGGGTGTGATTAGTTGATTACCTTTAATAGCAAAGCATTGCAGGCTTTTTTCTGAATGCCTTCGACTATTCTTTTAGGATTTGTGACCAATAAATCATCACCAACAATTTGGATGTCAACTGAAGATTGTAGTGCAGTCCATGAGCTCCAATCATCTTGGTCAAAAGGGTCTTCGATTGACACAATTGGGAAATCTCTTACAAATTCTCTGTATAAATCACCAAGACTTGGAGCTGACAAAACATGAGCTCCATCATTTGGTTGTTTCTTGAAATTCAAATCATATTTCCCATCTTTTGTTAAAAACTCTGATGCTGCAACGTCCATTCCTATCTTTATCTGAAAAGTTTCTTCTTTCATGTCAGATCACGTTGTACTGTGTTTGATATACATTGGACAGATACAGATACAGATGTCAGTGAGACAAAAATTGTACCTTGCCAGTGTAACCGGCTTTTTCAATTGCATCAATGAGCAACACGAGCCCTTCCCTATTGTCCTGAACATTGGGAGCAAACCCTCCTTCATCTCCAACATTGCATGCATCTTGTCCATATTTTGCTTGGATAATTCCCTTAAGTTTGTGATAAACTGTTGTGAAAAAGGTTAAAAAGGTAAATATTAACAGTGTTCATCGACTATTAAAAAAGATTGGAATGTTAATTGTAGAGTTGAAAAGATATGGTTATTGCTAACCTTCACTGCCCATTTGCAGAGCCTCGGCAAAAGAAGACGCACCCACAGGAAGGATCATGAATTCTTGCATGGCTAAGTTATTTCCAGCATGGCTTCCTCCATTGATGACATTGAAAGCTGGAACTGGCATAACGAGTTCTTTTGTTCCTGATATCTCTTGAATGTGTTTGTAGAGGGGAATGCCTTTGGCTCCTGCACCAGCTCTGCATACACTTAGGGATACTCCAAGTATGGCATTAGCTCCAAGCTTGGATTTGTTTGGAGTTCCATCGATCTCTAGCATAATGGCGTCAAAATCAGCTTGATTCCTATTTGTGAACGGAAGGATCAAAAGTCAGCGATGGAGATCTATTGCCAGTAATGAAACTAACTATTCACAGAATACGAATATAATGAACTCAAGTGGAAAGCTAACACAGCTATGGTTAATTAGTAGATTAACAGCAATACAGATAACAAATGTATAGATTTGAATATTAAAGATGAAGTACATGTGAAATGTATATGAGAAATATCTGACCTGACATCAACACCGATGATCTTCGGACCTAAAATTTCATTGATGTTCTTAACAGCGTTAAGAACTCCTTTCCCACCATAGACACTCTTATCACCGTCTCTGAGCTCCAACGCCTCGTAAATCCCAGTGGATGCACCACTCGGGACGGCCGATCGGTAAAGATCGTCAGTTACGAGATCAACCTCCACCGTCGGATTCCCTCTGCTGTCGATGATTTGTCTCGCCTTCACCGATTTCACGGTTGACGATTTCGTCGAGGCAGTAGCCGGCGACTGAGCAACCGCAATGGAGCTCCGAACAACCAACGGCCTCGAAGATTTTCGGGAGGAGGTTGGTAGGGAAAGCACAGGAATTATTGCTGAGGATGACGGAAGTTTAGAGGAGAAGAAGGGTTTTGAGAGCGAGGTGGTAGGAGCTGCTAAGGCCATTGTAATTCAGGAAACAACCTAGAGAGCAATGGAATTGGAGAAATGAGTTAAAAAAAAGATGTGTATATAAATGGAAGGTTTTATTGGAATGTCCGCCGTAGGTAGCGGCGAAAGCAGAGACGTTTTGGTGTTGGGTGGTGGTTGGTGGAAGCGACGACGTGAAATACCAGAAGTAATTTGGAAAGACAACTGCTATTGTGTTCGAGCAGACCGAAAGCTGACCAAACTGCTGAGTTGGGGATTTTAGGGCTTTGGGTGGGGCCATGAACAAGACTGGGGCATGGGCCTCCATTTAGTTGGGCTTTTATATGTTAGACTTATAGCTTATTACACCTATAAAAGTTATACTATAGTCACCACAACGCATTTATAGCAGCTCATAACGTCGTTATAACATCAAAAACACCGTCTTCCCTTCTTGTTGTATCTAGTTGTCTGGCTTCTTGTTGTCTCTCTAGATGAAACAAGATCATATATTGGCTGCACACATTATCTCTCTCTATCTCTCTCATCTGAACGGGTGTTATAACACCATGAACACTCACCCCCCTTCTTCTTGTTGCTTTTTGTTATAACATCACCTCAAGTGGCTCATACCTAATAGGCTAAAAGGGCATAATATTTTTATACGTAATTGAAAAAAAATCCTATCATAAAAGTCATAATATTTTTATGTGTAATTGAAAAAAATCTTATTATTTTTTTTATTGGCTCTGGCCACAAATGGGACGCATAGTTATCACTCTAGCCCATTTAACAATTTTCATGGTTAATTCTGTTAATTTTTTTGCAAAATCAGTCCTAAAAATTTAAATTTAATCCATGTAGTTTGCAAAAAATTACACCACATATCCAAAACTCTGTTTTATGTTTTTTAACTTCTTTATTTTCATTTATTTTTTATTTTTTAGTCAAAACTAAACTTGTTTTCTTGACTCCAATGAGGATTATCAGAGAAGCCATTGCTAGTTTAGGTAGTCCTGCTCCTATATTGGTTTCAGAAGGGGCTAACACCATGGATGTGGGTCGATCTGTTTTGGTCCAAATGGAACCCAGAACCTGTTTAGATGTAGGAACATGGGGGACAATTGGTGTTGGTTTAGGGTATTGTATTGCAACAGCAATAGCTTCGCCTGATCGGCTTGTGGTTGAAAAACTTACTGTTATATCAAATGGTGCTTGAAAAACTTCCTAAATCTCTGATTCTACATGAGATCAAAGATTCCAATGGATTGAACTGAAATGCTTCGTCAAGATATTAGGGGGCATATGTCGCCTTCGTCGCCTCTAATGTGTATGTGAAGTGTTTTTCCTTCAAGTGCAGTTTTGTGGGTGTGTTTTTCCTTTAATTGCAGGTTGAGAAGAAGGGGCAGAGAACGAGATGGCCACCTGCAGATCTAAAATGGAAATAGAAATTGGGGAAGGGAAATGAGGTGATGTATCTAGGTGATGACGAGAGAGAGAGAGAGAGAGAGAGAGAGAGAGAGAGATAGAGAGAGAGAGAGAGAGAGACCTTTTATTTAATTATTTTCTTTTTAAAAAATAAGAAAAAGCATCATAAATGGTCCCTGTGGTAGTGAAATGACGAAAATGCCCTTTAGTTAACGGACAAAAGTAACGGAGTTAGCAATAAGGACCAATCGTCAAAAGTTTTTAAAGCACAGGGACCATCTATGACGTTTTTAAACCACGGAGACTAAACTTCAGATTTTGGGAAACCACGCGGACCATTTATGATGTTTATTCATAGAAAAGTCCCAAATTTTTGGGGAAAGTTTCAAAAAAGTCATAACTTTTTTTTGAATAGAAAAGTTTCATTATTTTGAAAAAATCACATAATGTGTCATTTGTTGTTCAAATATAAAACATAATTTTTTCGTTAATTTGGGCAAAATGTTAAATAATCGGAACTTTTCTGTTTAAAAAAAAAAACTTTAGGACTTTATTAAAAAATTTCCAAAATAATGGGATTTTTCTGCATAAATCCCTTGCCCTTTTTAGAAAATCAAACATTGTTTGATAAAACCGTATAACTAGAGATATATAGGGTCTGTTTTGCAAAAGTAACGGAAAATTAGTAGTTGAAACTTGAAAGTTGAAAGATATTTTTTTATTTATATAAAATTTTGATACAATTGGAAGCTTCTGAAATATATAAAGTTGCATAAAGGTAAATGGATATAAACTAAAGTTGAAAATAGTAATGATAAATTAATTTTTCTAAACTATAATTTTCAAAAGTAAAATATCATTCAAATTTTGATATCAAGTGAACGGGTTAAGCTTTTCAATCAGTAAAAAAAATTATGTATGTTAGTAAATGATTGTTTTTTTTACAGATGAAGTAAACAAGACTTTTACATTTTGTAAGAAATTGGGCCAAAATTTTTTTACATGTTACAGATGTATCGGTGTTTTAAAAGAAGCAATATTATTGTTTGATATTAATTTTGATTTATAAATTCATATAATAAATATTTATTATTTTGTTAAATGAAATTATAAAACATGTTGATATGGCTGTTTCAAATAAAACATCATAACTGTTAAGCTATATTTATTTTTAATCGTATAAGATATATTTTGTTTTAAATAAAGACATTATAATTGTTAAAAATATATTTATATTTTACCGTATAAAATAATGACCAAAAGTATGGATGTGATTTATTATTTTAAAGAGTATTTACATCAATTTGTTAAATCTAAAAAAAGGTTTTTTTATTAAATGCTAGTTGAAGTAGTTTTTGGATTCGAAGTTTCTTGTATAACCAAAAAGCTAAAATCTTCTGCTGTCGAACGAACTTTTTTTCGAGATTTTTCTTAAAAGCTACATGCTAAAAGCTCATAAAAGTTGTGTGCCGACCATGTCTGTAATCTTAAATGCAAAGCCATTTAATAAGTAATGAACAAAAATTATCAATTTAATAATCTTTCCAAAAGAAGCCTCGAATCAGAAGTTTTCGATAATTAGTAAATGACTTTTACGATAATTGTCCCCTCAACTGAAAAATCTAATATGCTCAAGAATCATATGTAACGCCCGTAGATACGGGCTAGTCAATTTAGAGATAATAGGGGTCGAAAACGACTTTCCGACAAAAGATTATTTAGAATAAATAATCTTAACCAAGTTGTAGAATACGTCTCAAGGTTTCTGTACATACAAAGAACGCCGAAATCCGAGTTATAACGAAGAAGTTATGACCCGTCGAAGTTTTACGACAGAACCGGCACGGCACCGGGAGACGTAAATAGTGAATTTACGATAGAGCGACTTTTAACCTTAGCGATCTAAACGAAAGTCGTAGAAAACGTTAAACCGAGAACATACAAAAAAAGTACGCCCAAATCTGACTTCGTATGAGGAAGTTATGAATTTTCTAAGATTTGGCATAGCAGTGCACGACCCGAAACTCGAATTTTAGATCGAGCGGTTTTTGGCCTACGCGACCTAAAGGAGAATTGAAGATCGAACACCGCCTGTAGTCAAGGAGTCTAAGAGTTAGATACTCGTTCGAAGAAACATCAAAGTTATGACTTAGGATGAAGAGATAACGTATGGAGTCATCATGTGAGCCCTGTTTCGTTGATGATTCCGGGACGTAATCATCCTAAGGGGGAGATAATTGTAACGCCCGTAGATCCGGACTAGTCAATTTAGAGATAATAGGGGTCGAAAACGACTTTTCGACAAAAGATTATTTAGAATAAATAATCTTAATCAAGTTGTAGAATACGTCTCAAGGTTTCCGTACATATAAAGAACGCCGAAATCCGAGTTATAACGAAGAAGTTATGACCCGTCGAAGTTTTACGACAGAACCGGCACGGCACCGGGAGACGTAAATAGTGAATTTACGATAGAGCGACTTTTAGCCTTAGCGATCTAAACGAAAGTCGTAGAAAACGTTAAACCGAGAACATACAAAAAAAGTACGCCCAAATCTGACTTCGTATGAGGAAGTTATGAATTTTCTAAGATTTGGCATAGCAGTGCACGACCCGAAACTCGAATTTTAGATCGAGCGGTTTTTTGGCCTACGCGACCTAAAGGAGAATTGAAGATCTCATTAATAGGAACTCAACGGTAAAAAGACAGACGAAAACGGAGTCCGTATGTAGAAGTTATGAATTTTACGCGGACATTTAACAGTATAATCTCCTCAAACTGTTAAATTTAAGATCGGTCGAGAATTAGCTGACGGAGTCAAAATGAAAGTTGTAGATCTTATTTTTACCTACGCGTGGATATAAAGAACGTCAAAAACGGATGTCGTATGTGAAAGTTACGGATTTTAGAAGTCGGAAGTGTGTTGTGCGAAAATGGGTGATGTGGCACAATCTTGGCCATTGTTTTCTCCCCAAGTCTTGCCACTAGATGGTGACATGTGGCGCCAAGTTCAGCCATTTTCACCCTATAAATAGAACCTCTCCCACCCTTATTTTCTTCACACCTTTCCCATTCTTTCTTCTCTTTACTCTCTCTCTCTCTCTCTCTCTCTCTCTCTCTAGAACCCCTCTCTAGCCCCGAAACCCCCCCGAAAAGCCTAGGGAACCTCCCTAGCACGAGGCGGAAGCCCCGGAGTGCTCGACGGCTCCGAGAAGAAGATATTTTCGGCTCGGGAACGCTGCTCCAAGCAAAGCCCGGTTTTCTATAAAACCCGCTGTAAGTGAGCTACGCATACGCTATTTTTAATATATCGTTTATTTAATTATAGTAGCGTTATTAGGAACTTATAATAAGTACTTGGGGCTATTATTATGGGTTATATAAGTATTGTTTAACGCTTATATAATAGTAATAATAGCTAGACTATTAATTAGTCTCGGCGAATAATAGACTAAACTCTAATGGTAATAATACTAGGTTTCGTCGAAGAAAATTATTTTTAAGAAGCGAAGCGCTGTCTGAGTTCGGATTCACCACCTTTTCAAGTGAGTGCATAGTTACTTTCATCTTACACATATATATGAAGTATTTTAAATAAATTATGTGCTATGTGTGCATATTATCTGTATACTTGCTATCTATGTTGGATGAGCGATTTTATACATGTTTTAAATGATTTAAACTGTATATATATATATATCTACGAGAATATGTTGGGTAAAACATGGGTAGATGTAATAGATGGAATATGAGTTGGATGATGAGTTGAGAGGTGTTATAGACCACGAGGTAAGTGTGAGAGGTGGACGATGTGAGAAGTCTTTCCCAAATGATGGCCCCGTCATCTAGCAGAGTGTGGATGACAACCACGGACTATTCTAGAGAGTCCAGTGGAACACTGGCAGGCTTCGACCTGTAGGTGTTGTGAACGATGTGTTCACCAGTGTACTCTAAAAACCCATTGACATGTATTGTGAGTGGAATCTCGAAAACGATACTGTCAATAAACAAGATAACCCTAGCAGCTGTGCTCAAAGGACAATACTGGTAGCTGTGCCTCACATAGAATGTCACAATTTTGGCAGCTGCGCCTAAGTGATAGAACTAGCAGCTGTGCTTGACAGATGTGTCATTGACAACGACGGACTTCGTGCCGATTCCTTAGGATGATCCTTAGGAATGAATGCACGAGGACTAATTGATTCTTAGGGTAGATCCTTAAGAGTAAAGAAGATAATGGGGATGGGTAATTGGGTTGATTGTTTGATGTTTAAACATAATAATTATATTATTGTGGGTTGAAAACCCTATGTACTCACCAGGTTTCCCACCCTGACCCACTCAGTTTATTTGTATCACAGGTGTCGATATGAAGTTACATTACACTGAGAGATTTAAAAGAGATGTAGATCACTAGTGTAAATGAATGTAAGTTCTGTTTATGCTTATGTTTCTATATTAACGATGACATCCCAAATGTTTTAAAATGAATAAAAATACATTTCTTCGGAAATTCTTTGATAACGTATTTATCATGTTTTTCTGGGAACAAATTCCGCAAGATTTTTATTAAAAGAAGTACTCTGATTTTTATAAAGCATAAACAAAATCGGTCTTTTCTGGCCGTGAAAATGGGGATGTCACAATTGGTATCAGAGCATTAGTTTAAGCGAACTAGGAATATGGATTTATTTCTAGACTTAAACTTAGAATGCTAAGCGATGATTGTGAGATGTGAGCACTAGCTTATTTAGGAAAGTATGCCTAATATGCTTTATGTGCTAAATGAT